CGGCCAAGAAACCTCAAAACAGAGAAAGGGACACAAAGGAGATAGGGAAATATGGACCGACACAGAAAATAGACGCCACAAACACGACAGGACGGCAGGAAAAACGGCTGGACCTCCTCCCAAGACAACGCTTTGCTCGGTACGATCTCCCCACGACACGACTGCCGCACAGTACGGCACCCTCAGTAACGGAATCAAAGGGGCACACGTAGCTAAGAACCAGACACCTGGAATCCCACACGCCTCCTAAAAGACACACGCCGGGACAAAGCCGGGGAGCACCCCGCAAAGCACCCCATTCATCACCACAACGCAGAGCAGAGAGTTGCCTATCGCCAGGACACCAGTCACCTCGTCCTGGAAGTCCGCGGCAGTGTCCAACAAGGCTCAAAAGATGGTGGATGTCAGCTGCGCGGGGTTGTCAGGGACATCCGAAAATTGACGGACGTCGTCCCTTGAGGCAGCAACCCAGAAAGCGCAAGGAAATCGTTCCGCGAAGCCATCAAGTGCAGGTTGTGTTTCAATTTTTCACTTTGGGGATCCGGCGGGTGCAGGGGCTGATGTTGCTGAGGCCGATGTGAAGGCGATGGTGTTGCTACCTGAGTGGACGCGCTACCCAGACTGTCAGGGCTGATACCTTTGCTGCTACGGTGACGGTAGCTGTGCCTGCTGCTGCAGCTGTGGTCGGCGCGGCTGCGGGTGGCTGCAGCCCCATGGATGGCGGCGGCGTGACCACGCTTTAAGGAAATCTCGCGACCCGCAGTTTCCTAGGGGCCAAACTCGCCAGGCGCCCACATCGAGGTTGTCGGGGAGCCCTGAACAATTGGTTTCAGTATTGCGAGGCGGACAAGATGCGAGTGCGTATGTCCTGGAGCGAGTTGTGATCACCGGTACGATAGTTTTCACCGCAATTCCACGACGACGTCAGTAATGTTACAATGCTGATTCCCTCCTCATGATGGATAAAACGTCCGTCAGAAACATATAACGTGTCGCGTGTCCCTGAGACAGACACGAAAACGTGCACCAAACCGTAACCAAACTCCCTAGCATTACACCAAATAAATGGGATGACATGCAATTTTTGCAAAAGCCGATACAACACTACAAATCCCCGCCATCACCATGCCGCGCAGATCCCGTACCCTTCCGAAGATTTTCCTTTACGCTCAAACTGAAGCGACGACGATGAACAACAAACCCGCTAAGCAGTGCACTGCTGCAACCTCCTGGAGTATCATTCGATGGGATCCGACTTTTTCCCTTGCCACACGCGGGCCTCTGGATGCCCACACCTCGAAATTGATGCGGGTTGCCATCCAGATGGAGATGAATCCCCGGTGTTTTCTTGATGATTGTCGCATCACCCCACCGGGTGAAAGAAGCGTCCACAAAGAGGATAGCTCGCACGTGGCGCGCACCATGCGCACATTCACTGGGAGACCTCCGAATTACACACGACCATCACACAACATCGAGGTGCACGGCAAAACACCAAAAACTACTGGCAACAGCTTACTAGAGCCATATACCCCTCGGCCCTTCGCATCCCTACAATTGCCATCCATCACACTTCAAGGCGAGCGATAACAACCTCCTAGGGGCCGATTTCAAAGGATCTGACGAGTGGTGCTACAAGCTGATCAGTAAAACCACCTACTACTACTACTCCTCAGACCAGCGACGGGTAAGCAAGGCGCCACAGCAACACCATAAGAGTAGCTTGCTATTTGCGAAACGAGGGGAAAGGATGCTGAATGAAGGGAAGGATCCCCTCCCGGCCGCATTTGACGGCTTGATGGCAGTACGATGGCAGACATCGGTTCAGGAGGCAGCGACGATAGATTATCTACTTTTCCTCCATTGAAGCATCCATGTCGGCGGGAGCAGAACCAGGTTCGCGACAGCGCGCTACTAGGCCGCACGTCGCCGCAGGGACAGGAAGGCTGTCCTCCATTTCTGGCGCGCATCACAACCACGAACAGCAAGCACACGAGAAGCCGGCCGAGAAACAGAGGTGGCTCAGCTTTACCAGTGGGTGCAGTGAGGAAGCAAGAAAGATCATCAAAGCCGCCCGAAGAGCTTCCGAAGATCGAAGCAAAAGCGCCCGCGTATGAGATGGATGTATGAGATGACCATTGGACGCAAACAAAGCCGATGCGCATTGGTAACCTGACGGCGAGGGAATGTGACCTAAATGCCGGCCCACAGAGCACATGCAGCATCAAGTTCTGTCGAACATGGTAGGGCCTCCCCACGTGACAAAACCACAACCATCATCAATTCTTTATCTTTAGACAAGACAGGGTCCGAGTTTAATTGCCTCGCCCTTCATGCATATACGATTACGTTATTTCGTACCTCCTTCGAAACATCGCGCAGACAGCAACATCGACGTAGCACACAGGACAACACCAAATCCGATCCATTTTAGCACCAGGGGACAGCCAGTGCGCGTACAGTCATTTCATTAAACACCCTCCCTCTTTCATCCTCACCTCGATGGATGCGCCATCCCAAAAAAGCGCACAAACGAACTCGACGGCTCGCCAGCCTGCACCTGCTACAGAATCTCCCGAACTTACCTCCTACACCATACAAAAAACATCATCCGCACCACATAATCCACAGATGCTACGTGACCGAGTTAAGATAGATATTTACCGCCCCCCCCCCCCACGACCCGTCGAGATAATGTGTTCGCCCATCCATCGATTTTGACAACAAACGCGCACGTACTATACAGTACGGAAAGTAGCGACGATGAAGACTCCTCTTAACCCTAAGTTTGAACGAGTTTCCCGCACTCAGGTCGATCCCGTTTCGACTGCAATAAAAATTACGAAGCGAACCCCGCGCCGCTAGGCAATCCCGACCAAAACCGCGCCTTTATTAGCAATAACAAAGCATATACCCTAAGCGAGAGGATTAAAGAGCCCGTTTGCCTACCGCGCGACGACCAGGGGCTCGTCTCGGGGTGCAGAAGGCACGAGGAGATGGAACAACGATACACCGTTCAGCCCTGACACCGCGGAGGACCAATTAAACCTTTTAAACTCCCTACAGACTGGCCGCAGCACCACACGGCAGTTTACCTTGGACAGCCCCAGCAGACAACGGCACCATCCCAATCGCATAGATATGATGGTACATTTCCCTTTTTGCTTGATTCAATTCCCAAAACCGGCACCCTGCAGTCGCCACACAGGATCTCACTGTCTGCTGCAACGTAACGTGATGTCGAAGTGAACAACATCCACAAAAATTGGCACCCTCCCTCTCTCGCTGCCGAACGAGGCATTGCTAAATACGGCTCTCCAATTAATTCCATTAACCCTCGTCATTATCCCCTAAGCAACCCTCCGCACAAGCATGCACTATCCCTGTATCTACCACCATCGCCGCTCGCCAAAGGCAGCTAATAAACCTTATCGAGAGCTCTGGCCAACAGGCGAAGTAGTGGTCATAGCAGTCGCAGTAGTCAATAAGCGAAAAAACATGATACGTGGCGGTGCTGCCCTACAAGACCCCACACAAATGCAAAATGCTTTAAAGCCCAACTACTGATGTGCTGCATTCGCTCCTTCGTATGAGAGGGGTATCATCCTTTTGGTGTATGCTTCGGCGTCCTAGTTCAATCAAATTAAACCGACAGCAGCACGCACGAGGCGACAACCCTTAAGGCCATGCGCCGATAAATCCGGAAGCATACCTTTATCCCGCCGAGAGGCAACAGCGCGCATCTTATTTGTAATCCCACCATCACCACAATGAGGAACGGAAACATACAGAAGCACAAAAGCAGGCGACGCACTGGCTGATCGCATTACGATCAGTTCAGGGCGGCACTCAAAAATTGGATCTCGGCGGCCACATCCACACTCACGGCCACAACATCTTCAGCAAGATTTGGCATTGGGCGGTGTGCAACCCCGCACGGGCTGCTGGGGCCAGGGTGAGGCGCGAGTCTGTTGCGATACCAGAATTCCTTTCGCCTAGCCGCAAGAAATGTTAAGTCAGCACAATAGGACACCAGCAGCATCACTACACACAAAGACAGAAGTAATTAGAATCTGCGTCTTTATGAAACGAACATGTGTGCGTCTTTCATGTGGAAGTTCCTCCCCGGATGGCCCCAACCTTCCACCTCCTCCCTATGTTTTACACCATCTTGCTCCGCCAACAACCTCGCAACAACGACCAACAACCACCGCAAACAACCTCTTCAACAGCCCCAACCACCTACCCCCTCTTCCTCCTCCCATACAGCCACAGAATGCCACCTTCACCAACACCCAATACTACATGCCAGTACCAGTACCTAACCTGCGCAAACACAACGGCAAACCCTTACATAACTCTAGCAATCAGATGCCGCATCGCGGGTTTTTAATCCCAGAAGCAAAAATTCCCAGCGGTATAGTGGTCCAATAATCCCCAACATAAGAGAGTTGCTACGTTAGGTTACCCACACATATCTCGAACGCGACAGGAAAGCCTGTTTAGTACTTCCTGTCGTGGAAATATTAAAAAAAACAGCCGGCGCAGGCCAAGGCCTGTAAATTCCCATTAGGAGGCCGTTAAGACGCGTATGACTTTTAGGTTCATTGGGCCCGTCACGAGGCAGCACGAGCACCGCAATCGCTGGCACTCGCTCACAGCGCTATTTAAGAGCCGTTTCGTTTCTATTCATTTCGACATAAACGAACGCCGCTTTGTTGGTTGAATTCTAACCCAACCACCAACTGGCCAGCCGGCCAGCGCATTTGTGCGAGCAATTCATAACATGATACTCCCTTTTCCCACAAGCTAAAGTCTCCGTCTCCACATCCACACATCCATTCGAGATAAGAGCTGCTAAACGCTAATAGAGCTCGGCCGTTACGCAACGAGGCGATCCGGCTACTCGTTTATGTGTACAGATGTACTCAACACAACAGAGGTACACACCTCGCAGCGCAGCACTGCCGCTTGGAACCACCCTCACCCCTGGTAGGCCCTCAGAACTGCGGCTGGCCCGGAAGCGTGGTGCCCAGCTTGAGCAGCTGCGACAGCGCTCGACTCTTGTGCGGATCCAGACGCAGAGCCGAGTCCGGAACAAGACCGCACCTGCGCATACAATTATAAAAGAGTAACGAAGAGATACATCAGTATTACAGGCAAGTACTACCATTTCATTCGTCATGCTTAGGGGTCGTGAGTAATGTCCAGGCAGCGATCAGAGGCAGGACCTCCAAAACAGCTGCGGCGAGACATGCACGCACTAAGCACATTGCGATCAGGCATGGGCGGACTTCTTGCAATGCACCAAACTGCTGTATCTTGTAAGAAGTTACCACAGCAAGGACGATATTGTGTAAGAAGTCACCACAGCAAGGACGATATTGTGGCTGGTGCCGGCAAGCAGCAAGACCCCGACACATACACACACACCTTAGCCGTGCCGCCACATCCTCTGCAGACGACACCGCCAGGCAGCGCTGCAGGTCGCGACCAAAGGCCGCGTCAAAGTCCTCCGGACGCATGCGGCACTCCAGCATCAACAGGACCGCCACCAGCACCACCGACTCGCGCTCTGGAACCAACACGTCCTGTGGCAGTGACGACCGCAGCAGCGCCTCCACCGGCTCGCCGTACAGACCTGTACAGTGCATGATAACGTACGGCAGCGCGCACCAAACAGGAACGATTCAATACAATTATACATGCATAAAACACTCGTCAGATGGAATTGGTACGTAGGACGAAAATTTGTGATAGGAACATAAATTCAAGCGCGCCCACCCTCGCCGCAACCAAGTGCCGTCTCACAAGAGCCCATCCGCCCCCGTCCTCCGCTTACCGTGCAGCTTGCGTAGCCGGTCACTGAAGAAGCGAGACTGCACCCGCCGCAAGCCCAGCAGCAGGTGCCGGTGCAGAGCTGCGTGGGCAGCCCACGGAACTGCTGTGCCACCAGGCGTGGTAGCGCCCGACGAGCCCGCCGCCGCCTGACTGGCACATGCAGCGCCACCGCTGAGGCTCAGGCCCGCCAAGCCCGCCAGAGGACCCGCAGGGCCGCCATTCGGCGGCGACTGACCGCAAGCCACGGCGGCACCGCCAGCGGCTGCGATGTCATCCGCCGTCGCCGCCAGCGCCCGGCGAATCTCCCACTGGAAGGCACTCGTGGGGACGGACGCCTGCGCGGCACCGTTGGTGGCAACCCCTCCGGCGGGCATGTCGATGCCCATGGCATGCATCTGGGTGATCGTCCAAATGATCTCCTCCGACCAGCGGCGTGGCTGTAGCAGCGGATAGGGCGCCAACTCGGCCGTCAGAAGCAGCAGCGCCCGCGGCGACAAGTCGTTTAGTAGCTGGCGCGGCAACGACATGTTGACAGCGTGAACCTGCAGCACGAGATAGTTCAAACTTCACGACATCACGACATCGTGGATATGGCGTCAGGGACACTTACGGACGGTGCGGCTAAGCTAAGTTGAGTTGCAGTGCACGCAACCTGTCAGAACGCCCAATGCTAGGAAGGTGGTAACATTTAGTAGCTTCCCCTAAAAAGATATGGGTGCCCTCAATAAAATAGGAAAAGGAAATAATTTGTTGGAAGCGCACCTGGTGGCCCATCGCCTGCACCAGACGCTTCAGTGTCAGTTGGTAGTTGTGGAGAATGGTGTCCAGGTAGGCTCGGCGCTTGTGAATGCGACTGAGGCCATCCACCCACTGCTCCAGGGACACCAGACACAGCTGGCGACCGGCGGGACCAGCCCTGAGGAAGTGCAACGCAGGCATTGCAAGGTGACAGAAAAGGGCCCACAGAAAGGGAGTGTGAGCGCACGCTTCAGCTCAGGCAGCGCGGCAGGATCCACGTCATCCATATATCACTCATTTCAGGTGCTCGCGTGATATGATACTAATAAAGCGATACTAAGAGCATTGCGTAGGTTCCAAATCAGAGAACAAATGAGACAAGCGCCACTCCGTTGGAGCAGCAGCGGCATTCTGCATGAAGCGATTCGTCAATGGAATCCCGCGACATGACAGGCACAGCACAGATCATGGAGCAACACAAAGTAAAGCTTCGTGCCGACATTGCTACACACTCCATACAGCCTCACCCAGGGACGCAATGCTGCACAACCATCGCCCCAAGGTCTTCCACAAATCCACACCTCGACAAGTTCCCAGCTAATGAGGAGCATGTGGCTGGCGCTCACCTCAATAGCTGCAGTATGCGGCCCATCACTCGAGGGTCCACGTCCGTTGCCTGCGCGCCGCGAGCACGGTGCGCGGCTAGAGCTCGCAGCAGCGCCGCTGCCACCTCGGGCGCCATCGCCGCCACGTCCAGCAGCTGCTCCGCGATGATACAGCACAGGTGATGCAACTGCGCATGGGCGCCGCTGAAGGCCCCGCAAGCACGAGCAAGCTCCGCCGCCACCTGGGGACTCACAAGCAGCATCCGCCGCAACGCCGAATCCATGTACGACGCCAGGTCAGTGGAAGTGGCTGCAGCGCCGCCGCCAGCTGCGGCCACGGCGGCCGCCGCCGCCAGCTGCACCGCGGCGGCCTGGCTGCCAAGTCCAGCACCAGTAGGAACCGGAAGTTGCAGACCCGCGCCGCCAGCAGCACCAAAAGTGAGGAAGTCTTCAGGGCGTACGGCACGGCCTGCGGCATTGGCAGCCGCAACGGCGGCCAACGACTGGGCAATGAGCTGCTGCTGCTGCTGTTGCTGCTGCTGTTGTTGGAGGAGGCCGGCGGCAGCAATGGCCTGTTGCTGCTGCTGTTGTTGCTGCTGCTGCCCGAGGGCTAGCTGCGCCGCGGCGGCAAAGCCCAACGCATCCGTGTCAGCGGCCTGCCACAGATCCGACGTCGATGCACCAAAGGCCATGTCCGTACCGGACGAACGGCGCCACTGTACGCCGACGGTGGTTGATAGCGGCGGCGACGGCGGCACAACCATATCCTGCTCGCTCAGGGCCCGACCACTCGCTACAAGGGCCTGCAGATGCTGTAGGTGCTGCTGCGCAGCGACAGCCTCCGCCTCCTGCTGCTGCTGCTGCTGCTGCGAGCGCTGCTGCTGCTGCTGCTGCTGCGAGCGCTGCTGCTGCTGCGAGCGCTGCTGCTGCTGCAAGAAGTATGTGGCAGCTGCGACTGCCGCCTGGGACGACTGTGCCTGTTGTACCGCCGCTGCCTGGCCCGCCAAGACGCCAGTGGTACCACAGCATGAAGTGCCCGCGCCGGCAGCCGCCATCAGCAGCTCGGAAGGGGATGCCATGTGACCCAGAGAAGATGCGCAATGCTGCTGCGATTGCTGAATTTGCTTAAGCCTGTCCAGCAGCGCATCGCCGCTGATGCCGTACAGGCTCGTGCCGTCGGCACCCGACATATCCACACAGCTGCCGCCAGCAACTAAGAAGCTGTTGGTGCCGCTGTTCATGGCGGCGCTGGCGCTGACTGCGCCGCACAAATCCGAGTACGGCGACGGCATGTCGCCACCGCTGCAGGTGCTCAGCGCATCGTCAACGCTGCTCACCCCGTCCTCGCCGTGACCCAGATGGGCGCCGCTGCCACCGCTACTCTTGTAGCACGGCTGATGCTGGCTGCTATGAACGCTTGCGGCGGCAACGCCGGCACTGCTGGCCTTGACTGGGATTGGCAAGTGCGGAGGACGGCCGGTGTTTGTCGCCGTCGCCACCGGGGCTCCGGAACCAATGGAGCTTCCCGGGTTTGTGTCCGACAGCCTCCTTGAGTATATGTCCCCAGCTGACGTATTGAATGGCGCGCCCGCTGCGGTAGTCAGCGTGGCGAGGGAGGGCCTTCGCGCGGCGGCCGCCGGTGCAACGGCGGCATGGGCCGCGTGGAGCTCCGCCGCGGCGTCGGCGTCGGCGGAGGGGGGCCGCAACCCCAGGGGCTGGTCGGTCAGGGAGTTCGCACAGCTGGTGGCAGCGGGGCTGCCAGCACGGCTGGCGGGGCTGCTGGCTGGACTGTTGTCGCTGCTGGCGATGGCTGCGGCGATATCCAGAACACACGGCGTGATGGCGGCTGTGGTCTTGGCCCGCTGACGATCTTGCGGCGGCGGTGGTGCCTCCGCGCCGTCAGCGCCAAACAGCATGCGCACGAGCTGGGCTTCCGCCGCATTCTGCTGCTCCAGAGACATCGACTGCTGCCGTTCACCGGAGTTTATTGCCGCTGCGGCAGTGGCGGCAGCGGCAGCAGCAGCTGGCTCCATGCAAACCGACTGCGGAGCAGACTTGGTCACGCAGCCAGCCGCGGCGGCGGCAAAATTCGCTTGCTCACCGCTAAAATTTGAATCTCCTCCATCAGCAGCCGATACAAACGAACCCTTGAAGAGCAAGTTCAGAGTGGCCATGACTGCCTTCGGGAGCGTCGTCGCCAGGCCCTGGACCAGCGCAGCCTCGAGGATGGTCGGCAGCCGGGCCTCCAGTGACGCCCGTGCAGACGACGACAGAGACAATGACGGCGCGGAGGCGGACAGCGCGGCTGCAGCAGCCGGCAACGCCGCGGCCACACCACCAGGCAGCAGTGTGGGCAACAGGGTGTGTATCAGGTCGGGTAGCATCTTCTGCACATGCTGTTTGACACTGGGAGGCAGGCCCTCAACTGCCGCGGAGGAGGACGAAGGCGGGGGAAGGAGGTCCGACGGTACGCGGCTTGAGCCACTAGCGGGGACGGACTCAGCGAGAGGGCTAGGCGCGGAGAGGGGCAACGCCAGAGCAGAGGGATCGGAAATGCGTGGGCCTTGGCGGGGTCCAGCGTCCAAACGATTCCAATGGCCGTGGAGGGAGGCAGGGCTCCAGTGTTGGGGGCTCATGGGGGCAGCAGGCTGGCGGGGGGAAGAGAAGTCGGCAGCCGCAGATTCGGAATGGTACTTTTGGCGTAGAGACGCATTAAGGAGGCCTTGCACGTTTGGAGCTCCCTGTAGAGTTGTCGTACCGAAAGCAGAACTGTGGCCACCGACCAAGCTGAGGGCTGTGTCGGACTGGAATGGAGAATTTGGCATAGATTGCCGTAATGATTCCGAAGAGTACTGACTCATTTGCTGGTACTGGCCAGACGTTGCATCTGCGCTAGAACCATCGAGGATCGATACGGGCGAAGAATCCGTGACGCAGGAGCTCCCCTCGCCACCAGCCACGACGGCAAAAGGGGAAGCGGCTGGGCGCGATGATAGGGGGATGTCCGCAGCGAAGCCGGAAAATCGCGCCGGCTGTATGCTGGGCATATCGCTTTGTACCACCGTCAGCAAGTCTGATGAGCAGACAGGTCCAGAACTGCAAGAAACACCATCATGCTATCACAAATTAAATACAAACACATAATTGCGTTGTAGGTCAGACAAAGCGAGCCGAGCTGGCAGCTATGGCCCCGTTGGCAGGAACTACACCCACCTGCCAGAAGATACTGCCTTCGCAGCTTCTACGATCAACGTGGTTATCGAAGGTGCACGCTCTTCAAGGCGAAGACCACGAACAGGCTCCGGAAGGGGAGGGGGTGTGCCCATCTGGCTGAGAAGGTTTACGAAGATTACGCAACGCTGGTCAGACTGTCGATCTGGAGGCAGCCGCAGCAAAGTGGTAAAGTGCAATAAATCCTTTACAAAGGGGAAAACATCCGAAAAAAGCAAGGTTGGAGGAATAAGCGCGTGCGATGTCAGTCAGGACGAGGAAACGCGCATGGTATGCTCATCGCAAGTACCGCACAAAACGAATGAACTCCATTACCTAACATGTATGCACCTTCGGTGTGGAGCAAAGTCCTGTTTGCATGTTAGCGCAACCCGTCGACTCACCTATTTCCGGAGCTGCACACGTCGGCAATCCTTGTCGACCAGCAGCGCAAGCTTTGGCTATGAAGGTTTCTCCTTCAACGTGTGAAGCGGCCGAACTTGCGCACTGCAGCTGCAGGACCAGCGGCGCCCTAACCAAAAGTTGCGAAAACGAAACGTCCTATAATTCAGGAGTTCTCATGTTTCGTTTATAATTTGCGTTTAGTGGCTTGAAAGCACTTCTTCAAACCCTCCGAAATTGAGGATAGCTCAGTATGCGGCTGCTGTGGACAGCGCGTAAGGAACTAGCGACCACCTTACAAGCAGAAGTGCAGGGGTGCTCGGTTAATTAATCGCACAGGTATTTAAGTTGTGGACAACTTGAGTATAAAGAGCGTATATGTAATCGTAGTCTGTCAAGCGATTACCTAAGCAATTGTACGTTGGTACCTGTACCTCAATTACCGTTCCGAGTAAGGACCATGACAATATCGTTATGCATTATACCCTATTAAATGTCAGCTCGGCGTTCACACAACGCCATTAGACTGATTAATTGCGACAACGCCGTACAGGAAGAAAGTTACAAGTCCCAGCAGCCCCCACACCTCCGACTACCAACAAAATTTTTGTTCACGGAACTTCACGGACACAAACAATGCTGCTTTTTGTTGGCTTAACCCACGGTGTTAGGCACTGACTTCGCACGGCTATAGCCGTCTCTTCCAAGTGCACGAAATGCGACTCCGTATATCGTTTCCCAGGACTATTATCTTTCCTGTTTAGCGCACAGTTATACGATGGGGTCCAGGTGCTTTCTAGGGATAGTTCACCTTGCACCTTACATAAAAAATTCGGCGTGCGTCTGCGCCACAATCTAGTATATGGTTGGCTACTGTTATAGTTGAAGCCATGACTAGGCGAAGGTCAAACTGCCTGCTTTTGACTTTTTGGTATCTCAGGAATTTGTGTACGACCTTTCTAATTCAGCAGCAGCTGAGGCAGTTGAAACCCATCCATGGTCCCAAATCGCGATTACATGGTAGGGAAGCACGGCAAGGGTGACATGCTATGCAGCCTTTCCCTTCAGCAATTTGCAAGCGACCAGCTGCGGCCTAGCATTCATTCAACGGCGAATGATCCAGAAGCGACGACATGTATTTGTATTGTGGTTCCTCGAGTGACACCTTACTGCTCCAAAAGGTCGCAGGATAGACACGCGTCCACGTTCGCCCGGCTCCCGCTGCAAGTTGCTGCAGCTGACAAGACAGGCCCGACGAGGAGTCAGATTTTTGCGAATTTAAGCTGATCAATAGGTCTACATACACAGTGCGTGCAGTTCGTGCCGGCATCGCAGAAAACAATCTACGGATGTGTAGCTAAACCACCTTCTACCACTACCACCTGTCCGTCCGCCCACATGTCTGTCATTGCAGGCAGCAACGTGGAGGCTTGCAATGCCATGCTATTGGCGGCTGCCGCATCGACAAGATGAGGTTTGGCCAACTGCCTTGCTTTCCTCCAAACTCTTGCCGACCATCATGTGCCGACCTGTATGTGCGACCCTTGGATCTTTTCTCTCTTGTTGGGAAGTATGAGTTACCCCACTGCCCCAGGAACAGAACCCCCCAACAAAGAAGAGCCCTTCCCACGTCTACCGGTCGGAATGTTGGGTTCCGAAACTCCAAGTATAGGACCAGCTGCCTGTGGAACTTGAAACTCGCAATAGCAACACACAAGAACGCATCGCCCTTTAGGTATTGTCGAATGGAGCTTGTCAAGCTGTGTGCCGGCCATTCCCATACTCGCAAAACATTGTTATCTAAAGGCTTCCGCCTGCCAAGACAGCATCCCCCCTCGGAATTTCCTAATACCGTCTCTGTGAGCTGGCTTGAGGAAATAATAAAGATAACCTGGACGAGTTGTTTGTCTCCAGAGGCCTCCAGCTTCCCATGGCCCCTGGTTCCGTGACGGATTGCCAGCTATCAATTCCTTTGGGCAGCGTATAGTGACAGCTGTCACATCTTGGCATTGTAAACTGAATTTCGCGCACGTATTTCGCCGGCCGCTTCCGGAGAGGTTATGCGTTGGCTATACACAGGTGCGGTACGACTCCCGCAGCTCCTGCGCCGAACAAAGTCTCTTCACGGAAACGAGCGCCTGGGAAGCAAACGAATTCAAAAGCTGTACGCGGCAGCGGCAGCAGCTCTTGTAACTGAGGATTGCCTTTGAGCGGATTTGTGTTCCCAGTGCCCGGCGGTTACCGGTGTCGGTTGTTAAAGCATGTGCAGCCCAGAAGGACATATGTGAAAGGAAAAAGGGCACTTACTGCAAACTGCTTATGTCGCACGTACTGCGATTTGCCCAAGGAAACCCTCCTCTGGTGTACCGCCTTAGAAGCCTGTTACGGTCGCGATTACGGAATTTGTTAGGAAAGCGACCGTAGTTCATCATGGAACGGTGTTTAGGCATCACGATTAAACCTGTTTTATTAGTTTGGCCATGATTTAATGCGCACCAGTGCTTGTGAACCAGCAGGATTGCGTTTTGCGCACCGGGAAAACGTTGGTCATCAAAGGGCAACGATTATGCATTTTTAACTTAGAGTTACGGTATCACACCACTATGTCTAAATACAAGAAAGGGCTTTGGGGCCACGCTATGGGCTTCTAAGGTTACCGTGCGCCGCTCATGCAAGGCCCACCGACCTCGCTTGCTCGGAGTGGAGGTACGGAACCTAAGCACCTTGCCAATAAAACCTGTCACCTGTGGCCCACACTAATTTTGTTTGCATCTGTTGCACTTTATCCCCACCTCTGTGATGGCTGTGTAATACATCCTACCGGCCGAATGTTGATGCATTCTGAAGGTGAAGCAGTTGCTCACACATCTTGACGATGTTTGGCATGATCTGTTGATGTGAGCGTGAAGTGCTCCGAGTTCGTGACTGTTCGGCGAACGCGAGGCGCACATTTCCCCATTCCCCAGCGCCCTTCAGCTTTCAGGGCTATGGAACGCTGCTGGACTCCGCTCGTGAATTGGCGGCGTACGGTCGTCGATGGCGCCGATGTATTTGCATGAAATAGAATGCGTGCGGCACAGGAGGGTGGCATCAGTGGAAACCCGCTTCCCTGTCGCATATATTCACATACAGTTGATTGCATGTGGCTGTGTGGGACTGCATGATTTCTGTTAGACTGCACACCCTGAAGCCGGCGACAGCGTGATCAGCACGCATGGCTGGCAGCATTCGCTGCATCCGCCTTGTTTACCCCACTTTCGCACGTAGCGTTGTGTTAAGGATTCGCGGCATGGAGGGCCCTATCTGCAGCCGCATGCTCAACAATTTATGTCCAGGTCCCCATCATGCTTTGAAATGGTCCCCCGGAAAGCTATTTAGGCAAGGGCGCCCAACACGACTTTGAAAGAGTTCGGCTCCCGACGCCTGCTCAGCCCAGGCCTACTACCCAAAATTTCCAATCCTCCCCCCCTGCTCGCAATAGAGCCATATGCAAGCCACAGTGGGCCAGCAGCAGTCCTGTTTCACATCGTTACAGGGGTGCTCGCAAAAACGTTGGTGGACGTACGGCACTTACCGCGCTGCGCTTCTACCTACTGTGAGGAGCTCATTCAAGTGAACGTGGCCTCACGGGGCTGGTGACATTAAGCCTGGGTAGGCTTACAAGTTTGAACCTTAAACCCCTACTCCGACCCCTCCACATTTCCGCGCACCTATGGCTAACCACAGGATGATGTGCAGGTAGCTGGAATCCGCAGTTATGGCCATTGCAAGGCCAGGCTGCAGCAGTGTCCCACTTCCTTACATTCTGCTCCATACATGTGACCTCCATGGCATCAGATATGATTTCCTGTAGCTACGGGAGGAAATTGACGTGTGCCCCTACCTAAATTCTTAAAAGTGTACAGGGCCATGCTATTTAACCTGGAGCTGCGCTCCGATACTTCAGGCCAGCGCTGCACGTGCCCCTTTACCTTGTGACTTCACTAAATGCCGAGCCCGCAGTTGCAATTACACGTGCCCCTGAGTCAGGTGCATCCACACAGATACGGAGCTCTCTAGCTCCCAAACCAAACTACAAACACATGTAATCTTCCAACCTTTACATCTCACGCCTCAGTTCAACTAAACACACAGACACACACTCACGAGATCAAATTAACACATACAAGCGAGTCTTTTCTGAGCACTATTCCTCGTGTGACAATTAAAAAGGTGAGATGAGTTCGCTCAGTGGACATCGCGCGTCACACGGCGACGCTGCAGCCACAAGCACGCCACGAAATTAATATGCTGGTTCTTTCCAACATTTTGCGCCACAATCGGCTCGCGTGCAACACGACCAACCCCATACACTGAGCGCAGCCCGGTAGCAATATATCAGCCAAAAATTATGTTCGCGACATCTTTGTAAAGCTCAACCTGCCAAACACTTCAAGACACGCGCCAATAAATACAGAGGACAAGTATAATAAGCCGCCCGTCCTCACAGCCGGTTGCAGTGGGGATATTCCATCTATCGCGCAGGGTAGCCAACTACCCACCACATTCGCCGTGCTGAGGTCTCACTTAACACACCCTTGCACTCACGTTCGTTCATCGCCTCGTCTGCATCCCTCTCAGCATGGATAAATAAAAAAATGAAAACGAATAAGGCCACGTAATAAACCGAGCAAACCATGTCTATCGGAAAAGAGAAGCCAGCAGGTTGGGCACCTGCTCGCGAAGGGCTGCGTGCCCAGCTGTAATCCGCCGTGCGTCCAAAACGAATGAGCGGATCTGGCAGTTTTCAAAGTCAAACCCGCCGGTCAGCTCGTGCAGCAGGCCCCAGTGCGCCACCACAGCAATGCACTGCTCGGGTCGCGCGGCCAGCCACAGGCGCAGCTCCTGCACACGCGCCTTGAAGATGTCTTCAGGTGGAGGTGAAGGTTCAGGTTCATGGGCAAAATGGATCCAAGGTGAGCAAAGACGGCCAGGAAGGATGGCGTAAGCGTCGTGTGCGAATCCTTAGTCTTGTCGGCAGCAATGTCAAGAACACAGGCTAAGGAAAGAGGGTGCTACACAGCGACTCGCCGGATGGAAGACGTGGCGGGAATCCGCGGGATGCGCAGCCAGTGGATCCGCTCATTCAAATCTCGTCTGCTTCATTCCGTTCCAGCTAGGCAATTCCAACTGCTTCTCGGAATAACGCAATGACAATGTTAACCTAAACAGTTGTGCCGCTACAGCTTGGTTAGAACCGACCTCATGCGCAGCAAAAAGGTTTTTCCTTGAAGCATGAGCGCCAGTAAAACGCCCAGCTTCTCGCTCGAGTGAAAAAAATGAGATTCCCTCAGTGCGACAGCAGGGCCCCCCGGCTGCGTGGCCTCATCTTGTAACCCCTAGCGATGCTCCTTTACACCACCCAGAAGTGCGGATCCAGCTAACAGGATGCCACACTCTTCTTCTCCGATGCGTGACCCGCATGATTCTGGTTGCATCGCTTCCCGTCGCTTCCTCCTAAACTTATGACGCTCAAGCGTCCCATGCTCGATGAACCGCATTACAGTGGGACCCGACGGGGGCCCCAACCCAAAGGCACGGTGCTAACCTTCAGGCTCAAGTCCAACTTTTCTTGGGTTGCTGGGATCCACGCAGTGCCACCACACGTCCGGAAGGGCGTCGAACTGGAACCTGCAGGCGTCAGGAGCGACAGATAGAACCATCTACCATCAACCCTTCAATTCAGGTATCCAAGTTTTAGAAACAGGACGTATGCGGCCCGGTTCTCCAAACTTAAGTCTCCAAATCCAAAGGCGACAAGGGGTCGGAGGACATGCTTTCCATAGGCGAAAAGACCGACGAGCAAACGATGCTCAATTTGTAAACCGCAAACCCACCAGTGGAACATAAAGGGGGAAACCAAATCCGGAGACATCGCGGGGCGGACACATATACCAGAAATGCAGCAATGGAAAGTCATCAACATCATGGGGCATTGCGCCATGGGTAGCAGGCGAAACCCTAAGCCCTACAAGCCCCCAAGCAATCCCAGCCCGTACACGCTGGGGCCCGCCCTTCGAATCCAGAGGGAAGGTCCCGTCTCGTGCACAAGCATCAACGCCGATAGAACAAGGAGATGATGTCGACAGGGAAGATAAACATGTCCTCTAATGTGGCTTGTTATGGAGTGTGATCCACCCAGCCAGCCAGCCTGGCTGGGTGGTTGACTGGCTTACCTCGAGTCAGGGAACGTTCGTGCCAAGTGCTCCCGGCTACTACCTACGTCGGAAGCATGCCATACCTGCGATCCGCGGGTCATATGTCAGATGAGATCTGGATTCGGGCTCAGCGCGGGAGTGCGGCGGCGAGTCCGACACGTTTGTGCAGGCGGGCGGGCCGCTGGCAGACGTCTATCGTGTGTACGGGCGAACGCGTGTTCAGGAGTGGTCTGTATCGCCGGGGCCTACTGAAACTGACCCAAGATGGGCAGTCCTCTCCGGTACTCGCATTTTTCAAAAACGTCCTTTCTCAACCAGAGTCCACTTTGGACATGTCAAAACATCGGGAAGCTTCACACCATTTCGTAGGACTTTGGAAAGAAAGCAGAAGGGGAAACGGAAGTGGCGGTGGATGTGGAAGTGACCTGCAGCTGTACCCGCCATCAGGTAAGCCCGGAGACCCATGTTGGGCAGTCGTACAGGCCTTTAGACACAGGCAGGCTGGCAGAGCGGTGGGAGGGGAAGCAAGGAGGCACCTACCCTCCTCCTGAGCCACCTGACCACCCAATGAACAGCTGGGTTCAACCGACCGAAATCCGAGGGACCCACCCGCTCGCGTGCCAGGGGCTCCACAAGCACGGGGCCCTGGTAGTGCGGCAGGAAGGCCAGCTGCGCCGTCTGAAGGGCGCGGGTCAGTGGCGACACCACCAGCAGCTGCAGCAGCAGCAGCAACCCCGGGGATGGTTGGCAACACGGGGAGATTGGGAATGGTAGACGCGGTCGGGAGTGGAATAAGCTTGGGTGAATGCAAAGTGGGGTGGGGTGGGGGGGGGTGTTTGGTCTTCACACGCACAGGTTGCTTAGCCGCATGACGCGCGCGGCCCCGATTGCGTGTCCAATGAAATGCGCATACGTGGGGCGATTGGGCAGGCATCAGTGGACATGCAGGCACACGGAGCCCTTGCAGTACTACACTGGAGTGGAACAGCCGAGCAACTGGATACTGGGCTTGACCTGGCAGCTTTATGACACACTCTCAATACATAAGGCCCCGTGGCTCTGCCGTTTCCCGTACTACCTCGGGCTTGGGGCTCAATCGTTCTGCGACTTGCGCCGCCGCTTGAGCCCTCATCCTGCCGCGGACCGTCAACACTGTGTCGTACCTACGGCCATACATGTAAACTTTGTCGTCAGCCCTTCTTTCCCATGTTAGGAGACATTTCATCATTGGCTCATTTGGCCTTTTAGTGTGATGGGCTACAGGAAAGGGATGAAAAGCCACGCCCATGCCTAGCAGGTAGAGAGCCAGGAGGCGCTGCAGCTAGCACGCGCAGAGTCCTCTGAAAGGTGCACTGCGCACGGGGCGCAGCAATTGACCGCGCCGGCGTCATTCCTTAGGTCAATACCCCTTAAACCCATTATTCAGGAGTAAACACATTTCCTGGCCTGGTGTCTGGCCCAAACCCCAGCCAACCGCCTCGCCCGTTCTCCACACAGGTTTCTTCCCATGGTGTAGCTTAAGCTAGGATACAAAATCGCAACTAACATCATTGGATCTCTGAAGTCCTCCGCGTCGTAACGGTTCAGCGCCAGGTATTCGTTCATCTCCGTCGTACCATGGCGCATGAGGTGGAGGACCTGCCCGAAAGGCACACAGCAGCTCTCTCACACGATAAACGCATCATGGGAGTCCACGGGAGGTAGTAAAGGAGCGAGGAGGCCACAGGTGAAATGGCATGCCAAGGACGCTCCGACAGTTACCTTGACCGTTCCCTGAGGCCTCTTCGCATGCTGCGCTGCAACCATAACAACTCTTCTGCGCGATGCAATGTATCGTAAGTTCCGCGCCACAGGGCGCGAATAGCTTGAGACATGCATTAGAAAATGAGGACAACAGAAATGAGGTAAATAAGCCAACAGTAAACAGCCCACAGTATTACCAGGCGTTCGTTGGGCTTTTGTTATAATATGATAGAGCTTGTGTCTGCATCACAATTCCATGTTTGCCACCGAAATCCTGAAAGATGTGTGGTCGTACATACATGTGTTGGTTAATCATCAAGGACAGATGACTCTCTTGTTCCAGAAACGCTTGCTTTAATACAAACTTTTACATGTAGATGATGTCTTCTAACATCTTGTCTGAAAAATCCTAAAGGCCCTAGCATGTCAGGAACTTCTGGCCGCCTAGGCGCGTTGCATCGTTCACGTTGGCCTGTAGAGGCTCTAAGATACAAGGTTTCGTACGTACTCGATCGCCAGTCTACCCCTGTCTTCTGTGGGAGCGGGCTGTGTGGCTGGCGTTGGGTAAGTCAGCTGTACGTCCGGCCCTGCTGGGTGCATTAGCAGCACGTTAACCGGCGCAGCCGTTACGCACCGTTTACTACGCTCTGTTCGTCCTCAAAGACACACCAACGTCAGTTGTGGATCCGCCACTGGGCCGATCAGTTTTTATCGCACACATCTCCGGGTTAGAAGCTTGGCATGGTCGCCCGACGCCGCCGACGCATCTGGGAAACCATACGCCTAACCCCCACTTCACGGACTGTTATCTCGTTTCCCCCCTTCTCTGGTCGTGCTGTCCGTCCAAATACATCAAGTCGTGCTGCCGTCGTACTTCACATTCACCTCGCATAGCTCAAGCTACATCCACAGCGCATGGTGCCACCTTCCCCCCTCTACCATAGGTGTCACTGCTTGTTTCACGTACATGAAATGCGTCACGCCGGCCGATATTTCAATCCCACATCCCATATTCTGTCATCGGCCTCAACAACTATCCAGTAACTTTTCCGTACCGTCTCCCGTATCCGCTGTACCATATGTACTTGTACTGTAGTCAGTGGTATCGCACACCCTTTCCGCGGCGCCACGGCATGCGGCACTAGCTCGGGTCCAGGTTGTAGCCGCCGCAGCAGCAGCAGCAGCAGCATCGCAGGTTGCAGGCAATGTGTCATGCTGCGAGCAACAGCAGCAGCGGCAGCAGCTGGCTGCGGTGGCGGCACCTGAACCGCTGCCTTGGAGCCCACCAGTGGGCAGGTTAGTGAATCTGCCTTGAGGTGAATGCCGTGCAGTCTCGTGCTTGTTTGCAGCCACGCTTTTTACCAGGGTATGATGGATAAGGCATGTGAATGTGTACTTGAATGCCTCGCAGACCGGGCTTGTATGACGGCAAGGGGCGGTTGGTATTGAAGAGCCTGACGCTACCGGAGCTGGAAGCCTGGTGCGCGTCAGAAGGTAGGCTTTGCTGAAGAGACGCACGTGTGCGTGTGTATGTATGCGTGTATTTGGGGCCTTGGGAAGGATGGATGGATGGACGAATTGATATGGGGCAGACCGACCGACCGACCGACAGGCAGGCAGGCAGGCACACGAACAGATGCAAATAGACAGATAGACAGACTCATGCCTTCGTGTATTTTGTTCCGTCCAGGTGCCTCTCTAACCAACTGTCTCCGCCTGCCTCCCCGTACGTCCGCCACAGGCGAGGAGGCCCCGGCCAACCGGGCCTTACAGCTTTGGCGCTGGATGTACGCGGACCCGCCCGCAGGCGCCTGGGTTCGAAGCCTGGAGGAGACGGTGGGCCGACAGAACGGATTCAGTGCCAAGTTCATCGCCAAAGCGGGGTGAGCAGGGGCATCAAAAGTGGCCTAGCAGGGGGCCTAGCAGAGTACCAGAGACTGTGAAGGTCCAGGTTTAAGAGGTGTGCCTCTGGCTCTAGGAGGGGGCATTGCACCAGGGAGGGAGCGGGTGCGGGAACAGGCGGGTAGGCAGGTACGGCCCTTCTCAGGGATCCTCACTCCGTCCTTGTGTTCCACGCCGCCACACCATACACATCACGATAGCAGGCCGCAAAGTAGCCCCTGGTCATGTGTCGTGGCAACACGTACTGCCATCACGAAAGACTTATGCCGTTATGCGACTTGCCTTGGCTTCCCGCATGCTCACCCGCCAATACGCCGTCGCCGCATGCAACCACCAGCTCGCCCAGGGTGTCCAGGAAATTACCCGCCTGAGTTAACTCTTTTATCGCGCACGGGTTGGTGTTTTTCGGGTTGTACCCCGTACGTCCACCTCTGCTAGGCAGCGCGTGAGTTTGGACGGCGGTCTACGGCTGAGCCAGGTGGCGCGAGCTGCTGACGGCACCCGCAAGCTTGTGTTCACGTTGACGGAGGGAGAGGCGGCGGGGGGCAGCGTAGAGACGGTGCTAATACCTATCGTTCGGCAGCAGGGGCTGCGGGACCGCCTCACGATCTGCGTGTCGTCGCAGGTGCGTGGGGCCCTGCCCTGCCCTGCTCTGGCACGGAGACGTCTCCGTGTGTTTCCCAATGAACTGACAGCTGAGGCATGAGCAAGAAGTGACGAGGATGGTACTAAGAATGGCAACTTTATTTACCCATACGTGAGGCACACACGTGTGGGTGTGTATGCGAAAAATGGACGTGCGGGGACGTGCGAATGTATTTAGTGTGCATTTGTAGGGGTGTGTAAGGAAGGCTAGATCCATTGGAGGGCGGGTGCTGCCCGGCGGAGTGACCGTTGCTTGCCAGACACCCCGCGGCTGGACGTGCTGTCCCACGGAACGCCTCCTCGCTGACCCTCTCCTCGGTGGGTGCTGCTGGTAGGTGGGATGCGCCATGAACTGTCAGTTCTGCTACACGGGCCGTATGGGGCTGCTGGGCAACCTCACTACGGCGCAGATTGTGGAGCAGGTGGTGGAGGCGAGGCGCTTCCTGGCGCAGGAGGGTAAGATTGCGTCTGATGGATGCCAATACAGAAGAACGCATAGGGGGAGCAAAAGACGAGCGCGGTTGTATGTCGAAACGAAGCCATGCCTTCCATTCTTTGCTTCTTGCGTATGGTTCCCCCGCCCTGCCTGGCCTCTCAGGCGAGCGCACCCAGCTGACCAACCTGGTCTTCATGGGCATGGGGGAGCCTCTGCACAACACTGAGGCAGTGCTGGCGGCCGCTGACATCGTGAGCCACTACTTGGGACTGCACATCAGCCATAACAAGGTGGGGCGTAGGTGAAGGGCGAAGCGAACCGGGGGCTGCGGGCTGGGGGAAGTAGGCGGGAGGAAGGCCGTGGAAATTTTTTTCCATGCAGCGGAGCCCCGGGGACTTGATGGATGATGAATCTCTACTTCTACTCACCTCGCGCCGCACGCAGGTTACGATCAGCACGGTCGGATTGGTTCCGGAGATGCGGTCTGTCGTCGCCCGGAGCCGCGTGCAGATGGCGCTATCACTACACGCAACAACGGGTGCGTGAGCGGGGCGAAGAGGGGTCGCAGGAGAAGCACTGGAAAGCCCGAATGGGTGTTTGAGGCAGCGTGTCGCACGCGCTGCCTGCGAACACAGGTTCTCCGGTGCCAGAAACCCCTGGAGTTTATATATAGACTAGCAGGGCGCGCCACGCCCCATGATTCGCCCTTCCACATCCGCAAGCCAGCAAGCCGATTCCCAGCACGCTTCTTCGCTCCTCCTCTTGCTCGCAGATCGTACCTCCCCTCCCCGCCGGCCCCTCGCGGGCTCTCGCGCCCCTCCCCTCCCCTCCTTTCCTCTCGCACGGGCCGCATCTGACCACTGTGACATTGCCACATTTCCCGTCCCCCGGGCCCCCAACACCTAGTTCCTTAGCAACCATGCAAGGCACACGGAACCTTTGGAACCGCTAGAGTTGCTGATCTGGACTCTGCTTATTTCCACCTTTCCGCGGCCAATGATACTGTTGCATATATTACACAGACGAGGTCCGGGACTGGATTGTACCCGTCAACCGCCGCTACGACCTGGCCACTCTTACAGCAGCTCTGGAAGAGCTGTTTCCTAAGCCTGATCCGACGCACAAGCGACCGCAGCATCAGCCTCAAGCACAACGGCAACAGCCAAGCGGTCTTCAATATCACCATGAAGATGAGCAACTGGTGCGGGAACAGGAAGAGCAACCGGCGATGTCAAGTGCAAGCAGAACCAGCATCAGCAATAGCCAGCAACCGCTCCAAGAGCAGCAGCAGCAGCAGCAACAGGACCAGGGGCAACGGCACCAACATCCTGGCATGTCGCTACCGCAGGCGGGAGCTGTGCGCTGTGGCGGGGAAGCAGCGGCGGCGGCGTCGGCGGCAGAGGGATCTGAAGTAGTTCAGACGGAGGCGGAGGCGGCACATCGGCAAGAAGTATTCGAATCAGGGGTAGCGCGATGGCTACCTCTCCTGGGCTCGAGCTCACAGCAGCTCGCAGAGCCGACGGTGATGGCGGCAAGCATGCACAACGGGTTCAGCGGTAGTGGCACTTGCAGCGTCTCAAGCAGGAATGGCAGCAGCGGAAGCACCAGCAATAACGGCAGCCGCAGCAGCAATAGCGGGGATAGCAGTCGTGTTCTGACGGTTGTAGACGTCGGCACAGGTGGCGCCTCTGAAGCTTCGTCAAAAGCATGGACGCGGGAGGCCACGGCAGCAGCAGCGGCCAGCAACAACAGCATCAACAGCAGCGGCTGCAGCGACGGTAGCGATAGCGGCAACAGCAGTAGCCGCAGCCTGTTGATTGAATACACGATGCTGCATGGTATCAACGACACGCTGCAGGATGCCCATCGGTAAGCAAGGTCTGAAGCACGGCCTTGAGTGGGGTTTTAGCTTGAAGCCAACCTTAAGGAGTGCACATTACTATTACTTCGCTAAATGCCCCGTTTTATCCACCTTGACATGGAATTCCAGTGAACAGTCGCGGAGAAGTGGAAGGGCGCCTTTTGCCTGTGCCGCGGCTCCGTAGCTGGGAATTACATTGCGTGTTATTTCAGCAGCGCTGCATGTGTTTCCCTTCTGCTTGCGGCTTCCCCACTCCCCTCCGTGTGAAGGCTGGTTGCCATGTTGGCGCGCGTTAATTGCAAGGTCAACCTCATCATGTTCAACCCTCACGCGGGCACACGCTTCCAGCCTTCCACCGAGGAGGCCGTGACCGCGTTCAGGTCTGCGCTGGTGCAGGCCGGCATGGTGTGCACGATTCGGGACAGCAGAGGTGCGAGCTGGGACGGTCTCGGATGGTTTGGGCGGGAGGGTCGCCGCGCGTGAGGATCGACCAGCTGGACTTGCGCAGCGAGAGATGATGCACCGGTCTGTGGCCGAGGGGTTCTTAAAACGTAGGATTGGCGGGAGCATGAAAGATGTCTATCATGAGGCACGCCATATGTTCAGATCGCTTCCTGTCTTCCTGATATACTCGTGCGTTATCGGCCTGGCTATACTGAAAGCTGCCCCTGCCAACGCCGCCACGCGCAGGCGATGATGAGATGGCGGCATGTGGTCAGCTGGGTAACGTGGGACTGGCGTTCCGGCCCTCGCCCATCTTGGAGCCCCCAGAGCACTTCCGCCGCTACATGTTGCCGCCAGGGCCAGCAGCCGAGCCTAAGAGGACAACGGTGACGGCCGCGGCGACACCGGCGACGGGATCGGTTGCCGCCAATAGTGATGTAGGTAAAGCGGCGGCTTGATTTTTTGACATTCCGGTGAGGCGGCTGGGACGCCTGCGTGGGATGCCTGAGTAGGGCTAAATTGTTCAGCCTGTATAGTACCATACACACTTTAAATCCTTCATCAATCAGCTGCCTTCTTACAGTCAGCGGTTTCAGCCGTCTTCGTAAACCGCATGTACGTCGTGGCTTTAAGAAGAAGTTTTAGGTTTATGAAGGAGCAAGGTGATTGCTGGGGAGTCCTGGGGTGACATCAGTGGCTTGACGTTGAACGCGGCAATTGCGGCATGGTTTGGAAGCTGTTATTTCCAAACGGTTGGCGGCTGTGGTAATCGGCTTTTATGAAATGGAACTCGGGAGGTGTATATAATCCGACGCTCTGGACCGTCGGATTTATGCAACGACGTAATCTTTAGCGATCATGTCTCGACCACATCACATGGCTAGGCCATACATCGTCATGGATTCTAGGTTTCTAAGGGTTCAGAGACGTCGAATGGACGCAGGCTTGCGTACTTGACTGTTGGCCTGTCTTGCTGCTTGACGTATCTCCCAGCATTCAAACACTGTATTTTGGATCGAATAGCCATTTGTGATTCTGCGCACCCCACCCCTATGCGTAACCATCCTATCGAACACCACAACCGCACCCAAACAGCTTTGCGCGCTGTCAAGCTTTCCGCTGAGATGTGATGGAACGCCTTTAGGTACACAAGACATCGAGCATCTCTTTGTGACACGGGCATTTGTATGGCCCCTACCATAACTTCAGCACCCCGTGCAGCACTACACAGCGGCCCCCTTCCTGTTCCCGAGTGCAGCTACCATACGCAGATAGAGCATCATCACATGCACTGAACATCTCGCAAGTGCGAAAGGAAAGAATACTTGAGGGCCAGAGGACCAGGCGCTGGGGACACGCACCCGACTGGCGTCCGCAGGGCATCAGCGCGGTCCCTGGCCAGCAACCTTAAGCCCGACACAGCAACCCCCGACCTGTACCTTAAAAAGGACGGGTGACGCCATGCGCCAATGACTGACGCGCAACACATGACACTGCAACCACCCCCAAGGCCTACATAACAGCACCCAGGTGACACGACGGGGACACGCCAGTGACATGACACAGGAACAGGGAAGCTCTACCGCGGCGGACTTCTAACGGCTACACGCAGCTTGCAGACCCGAGGCTTTTGCCTCGGCCGGCCCAGAAACGAGAAAACAATTTCACCCAGAAAGATTGTGATTGGATCTAATCCCTAAGGAGAGCAACCCCTGTCAGCTTATAAATGATGCACAAAACACTAGTCCAAAGTTAAGGCCGCGTTCTAAGCTCCACGATCTGTGATTGTGTGTGCTGTGAAGCATATGAATCCTCGGGTGAAGGCGCACATTCACAACATTGGCGACTATCTACGCAATCCTCCTCCTGATAGAGTTCCCACAAGCACTGCGGCCTTGTCCAATATAAGGCAATGGCAGCTGACAGAAGCCATTAAGGATGTGAATAGATAAAAACTGCCAACCTTAAATCAACCCGCGCGTCATGTCCTGGCCCATGACCAGACTCGCTCAGAAGCGTTTCTTCCCCGGCCGCTGACATTGCCGTGCGATGCGTCCAACAGCGTGCATGCACAGTTGGGCGCTCAACCCTTCTCCCTCTACAACCAACACCACGTTTCCCTCGCCAATTAAACACGATGTCATGCCGCACGACCAGCAGCCAAACGTTGTGTCCTGCCAAGCCGCCAGACGGCTGTTCACAAGGCCGTGCCCGGCTCACACCCCACTTCTCCCACTACGCCTGGATCGCAGGAGACAGGCTCCTTCAGCTTCCCAGCCCCCATGTCCTACTTTACATCAAGGACAACGCACGCAAGGAAGTGGGATCAGAGGTAAGGAGGTGGGGGCTGGCCAGGAGTCAGTACGGTATGCGGTCGCACCGCTTGATGTGACAGGCGACGCAGAGCGCACCGCCAAGCATTGGAATGCAACCCTGAATGTTCCCTATCCCTTCGACGTCCCATCAACATCTTCATATGGCCGCTGCCGGCAGCTTCTGTGAGAGATACGTATCAAGCTCGGTAGCCTTCATCTCGCGGAAGGTGACCAGCCAGGCGAGCTTGCAGTCCTCGTCCAGCCTGCGGAAACGGCAAGGAGGTTCCAACTAGGTAAATGGCACACTTCAACACGAACAGGGTTTGCAACATGCATTCCCGGCGGAAGTAGGCTGGCCGGCAGGAGACATGAGGAACAGAAGAGCTCCAGCTGACCCCGCGCATTACGCGGTACCCTTGCAGAGGCAACATGAACGGGAAATTGGCTATAAGCTAAGCCGTCCTGACCGGGCACCGCACATAACACGCCGGCACCCAAGCGGGGGATGTGGGACTCGCGGCCCACGTAGGGTGGCCAGGGGCCTGGTCCTTAAGGCTTTCACGCGGGCACGTGGACGCCCCAGCTGTGAGGCCCTCCTCAGCCGACGCTGCAGCCGCACCGCACGCCGAACCCCGCACGTTGCATACCTGAACAGCGTCACTCCGCGGTACTTGTGCAGTCGTGGGCCGGTGCTGAAAGGTCCACCCAAGTCGTCCTCGCTCCCAAGGGAGCGGCGCAGCGTAGGGCTGGGGGAGAGGTGCACACGGAGATGACCGTTCTTCACCTCCACGCTGCCGTGCTCGGGATGCAGCGTCGGCTGCTGCCGCGGCAGGGCCTCCTGCGGCACTCCAGGCGCCGCCCCAGCCGCCTTGGCTGCCGCTGCTGATGCGCCTGCGCCCGCGGCATCGCCAGTGGCATCGCCGTAGCCAAAGCCCATGGGCTGTGACTGTTCGAAGTCAAACCAGTGCACCACCACAACGTTGGTGGTAGAATCGGCGATGGTCTCCCGGATAATGACCGCGTCCTGTCGTTTGGGGATGCATGAGCAGCCGGGCAGCCGCCGTGAAGGGCGGTACTGAGTACCAGCCGTTGCGGGAAATGGCGCAGAGGCACTTCGGCAAGCAGTGGCTTAGCGTTGGGAGGGTACTGAAGAATTTGGAGTCCCTCCTGCCGTTCTAAGGAAGGCGCCCCGCCGAGTGCCTGTGGCGTCTTCCTCCATCACTATGAAACGGTTGCGCCACGGCCTCCTCCGGTGTGCTGCCGCCGGAGTCGAACCCACCTGCGAGTTTCTGCTGCGGCGCTCCTCAAGGGCGTCCCGCCCTACCACGTCCTGCTCGAAGTCCGGCCAACTGTAAATGTTGAACTCCTCAATATCGTCCCGCACCTGCAGGAGCGAAGCCCCGAAATCGTGGCCGTGCGGCACATTAAAACAACTGGACGTGAATGACCGAATCAGATTTCCATGTCAACGCCACGACGCCCATAAAGGAAAGCCAAACCACCTCATGCATTCATGAAACCCCGCGTGCAGGAGCGTGGGGTCAAAACTGTTCAGATGCAAAGGCAGCAGCTGATAACCAGGGATAATGCGTCCTCCCGCCGCCTCTATGCAAGGTAGGCCACCACAGACTCCTCCCCTCTTCGGCCATGTGCGCCCACCATGTTTTCCAAATCCGGCCCCGGCGTCCAGTTTTCCACCCACTCCGTCGCAGCCTGCACCGCCCGCACGCGCCACATGGGGTCGATAGTGGATGAGGATGGCAGCTGGCAGAAGCTGCCTGAAGCACCGCTGCTGGCGGAAGCGGGAGCTGGCGCGGCGTGGCCGCGCAGGAGCAGGCGTTCGATGGTGGCACGCTGCGGTCCGGGTAGGTCGCGCCGGAGGTACGCAGCCATCTCCTCGTGCGTCGGTTGCCTATACTCAATAATTTCACTGATGCGACCCTCCGAGTTCAGCTGCACCAGACTAACACCTACAGGCAACGACGCGCGGCAATCGAGCTTCGAATTGGGAACAGTCGGTGGCTCGTTTCATACCAGCGAGCGCGGAGGTCACCGTCCCTCTATCCCTTCCGTCAATGACTCGACTGCGATGTTCGACAGTTGTAACCACAGCACATGCGGCGTGCCGCCATTTACACGAGTTCTAGCCTCTGACGACAATAAAACTTGTCCCCTGCACTGATCGGGTGATGGCAGAGGCCAGGTCGCGATGACACGCGAATAAGGTGCTAATATGGCCACGAACGCACCCGAAAACGTGCTGCGCTTGAATGAGGGCTGCATGCCGAACAATCCGACCCGGTTGGTGCCGACGGCAGTCCAAAACATGGCTACACGGCCCTCCTCTTCGGCATAAGTGATGACGGAGAATGTCAGGTCCTGCGGAACCGCACAACGTTTTGGTGCCAGAAAGGAGACAGCCCACAGATTTCGACTAAACTGAGCATCACAACCTCCCAATGGTTTCGATTAAAAAGGTTCCAAGAACAGCCATATGAGCGGCTACAGGAGGCAGACTCACAAAGCGCCCTGTACATGCCTTCCTGTGCATAATGTCCCGCCACGGCCCGTGCACGGCACCACGCCCCGAGCACTAAACCACACACCGTTGGTCCCCCCATCCCCTATTCCGACCTGGTAAGCAGCATGCAATTCCAGCAGTGCCGTGTGGACGGCCTCTGCTCCGCTGTGTGTTTGCTTGCCCTGAAGAAGACCACGTTGCCTGAACCCCGGGGGTGACAGATGGCTCGAGGTCAATAGACAGGACGGCCTCCGAATACTCTTGGGGACACGACCCAAAGCACAGGGATGAGATTGGCGGATTCCGTGGGGGATGGCGTATAGCGCTAGCCCCCGGTTGATCCTTGCCCATGTAAGCGTAGCATCAAAATACACCAGGATGAAATTTACAATGTTTAAAATGTGCGCCCACTATTGCGAAACACCGGCTTCCGCGTGAGCCTGCCGAGGGATCGGCTACCTTTCGCCAGACGGAAAGAGCCTTACCTCCACTTCACGTCCTGTGTTACAATCTCGGAGAACTCCTTAAAATCATTCGTTTCGCTTAGGTGGTAGAACCGAACTGCGCAGGAAACGACTGCACAAGGCGCATCCAAGGAGGATGGAAGTGACTCCGCCACTACACAGCGTCTTGGATTCAAGGACGCTGACTTCGAAGCGCGAGAGTTGCATGGAGTCGCGTGCTGACGTGGTCCCTGATGTGGATGTGTTGGCGATGACAAAGACAAAGACGCGCCAGGGATCCAGCACCCGGAATTCTGCTGATTACAAGCTCCAGTATTCACCAGGCCGTGTCCCGTCCGCGCGAGCAAATGCATGTTGGCTGATATTACGGAACAACAGGTGCCTTAAGACTTTTACAAAACGCGTAGCGTCCGTACTCAAGTCGCTGTTAATAAAACAATTACATGTTATACCCGTGACATGACAAGCCACCTGTTTCAGTACACAAAGGGCCAAGGAAACCGTTAGAGCAACGGAATCGCATGCGACTGTCCATCCTCGCTGTTCCGTCCAGAGGTCGGCAAATCGGTTTCCACGGCTGCAAGAGGGCATAGTCAGTTTCAGTCAATAAATCTAAAAAAGTTTGGCGCGGGAACGGCAGCACTATAAGCGCTGCTCGCTCCGTACACATTGCAGTCTCAGTCGTTTTATAAGGTCACGCCTTACGCCTCTGTTCATCGCCATGCCGGCCCGTGCTTGTGCTCGCTGTGGCTCAACAAGCAGTGGAAACAGCCATGCTAGCACCGCATCAGCAAATTACGGGAAGTTCTTCTGGTCTTGCGCCATGAAGTTAGTGTCGTTTCCCGAGCTATCCACCCTCACACAGCCGATCGCATGCGGTTAAAGCGCGGGCCGCGAAGGATATTCTCAACCTTATCGGCGATATGCGTGTAGAAGTGCATCCTAGTGGAGGACTTGTACTTGGCCATCGCCCCCTTCGACATTGCACCTCCTTCCAAGGAACCCAACGTATTCAGCTTCACGATAAGACCCTCGTTAAGCCGAATAGCTGACAAGCGCGTCCGCCAATCCCGCTTCATGACGGCACGGGCGGAAAACACGCGCTCGCAATTGACCGACGTGGGCTGAATTTGCACACAGAACAGCGCGAGCTTCCACATCTCCGAGAACAGGTGCTGCTTAGGTGCGAGCTTGGGCATCATAAGATTAATGTGGTGCATAGCTGTCTTGCACACGCGCTCCTTCAGCCCCTCCGGGGCATCACCACCCTCATAGCCCTCATCACTAAAACCAAACACCTCCCCACACCTAACGAGCTGTGACAACAGCTGCTGCTCCACATATGACTTTAAGAACGCCTCCCAATCCTCCACAGCAGCTGGCCGCAACTTCCACATCTCATGTTTAAACACGGACAGCTGCAACTTCGCCTCCTCGAAATCGATCTGTGGATGGCAATCATACCTGTGCTTCTTCTCCTTCAGGCACTCCGTGAAGTAAACCCTCAGCGTTTCGAACGCCTCCTCGCCCCACGCATCCACCTCTTCCTTTCCGGAGTACTCAACGGGATCAAACAGGGCCAGTGCCAACAAGACGCTGTTATTAGGGAACCGTCGATCGAGATATTTGATGAGATTCTCGGTGAACTCCTTGAAGAGGTCGTGCACGACACTCTGACGACTCAGGGACATTCGACACGGGGTAAGGCATGGCTTGGTAGAGGAGCATGTACGCGCCACTAAACAGAGCCAACAAAGCATTGTCAGCCACCTCGGTCATGGGGAGTCATGGCCAGGTGCTTGCCAGTTTGCTGATGATGATGATCCTGCATGTACTGGTCTACAGCCGCTTTGTGGGAGTGGGAGGCGTCGTGCAGGGTGTAAGCTTAGCGATCCCAGTTCGTGCGGAAAATGGTGGCGTTACTCTTCTTGTTTTGTCACTAAAAAAGCATATGACCGCCGTCGAGCCCTGAAGTGCATAGGCCCAGCTCTTGAAATTACCACCACAAGCGGCAGTCAGCCAACCCATGTCCTCGTTGAGAGTATGGGGCCGCTCAAACCCCAGGGGGACACCAACGGCATCGATCTTGTTGGTGGATTTGGTGCGCTTCCGTTCCGGGTTGGCGGTGGCATTGGGGGTGGCGGCGGGCAGGAGTGTTGCCGCCTGCTGTTCGGGAGCGGTGGCGTTGGGGGTGGTGGCGGGCAGGAGGGGTGCTGGCTTCTGAGTGGGACCGGTGGCGGCGGCATTAGCTCGAGCGCGCCTTTTGTTCTGCGGAGGAAGGGCCACGGCGTTGGCGTTTCGGAGGTGGGGGTGGGGGTGCTGGGAACAGTAGAGCCGGACCATCACCGGCACTGCCCGCTGGCCCAAGTAACGGCTCTGCCACCTCAATATCTGTTGTTGCGGATTCCATGACCGTCCATCCGCGCGTGCCCAGTTTAAATAATCATAAGCACAGATATGCTCACGTGCCTTGGTCAACAGCTTGTGTACGAGCAGGTGAGCTTGTGTACGTGCCAGGACAGTTGTGCTGTTGATGTCACCGCCGTTCTTCGTCTATTGACAAGCTTATCGTCCTACTCCCTAGCTGTCTGACCTGTGGAAATGACGGGCTGAGTATCACAGGCGTTTCAGCCGGGACTAAGACTCCAGGTGTTTTGCACTGCCCTCCAAACGGTTTCTGGGTCTTGCGCGTTACTATTCTTTCACGTCTCAAACACAAGAGCTATTGCCTTACGTGGTAGGTTGCACGTTGCAAGTGTGCATATAGAAGAAATGCTTCTGCTGTTGGTGGCTTCGGAGGCCGGTATGGCCGGTTCTTGCGGTTTGTTGCGCAAGATAGGTTCGCGTTGTCATGTGCGTGATTTAAAGTGCAGTTCCACCTCAGGTAAATAGGACATCTTTTGACAAGCAAGCTTGCCCCAGTTAAGTGTTACGTGCTCCGTTAGGCTCTAAATCCTCAGTGAAGTGCCTGCATGCGCATACAACGATAAGGAGTTAATTTAAATATAAAAGATGAGCATGATAGCTTGCTCCTAAGTCTTAACCTTTTGGGATTGGCATGGCGGTTCAAGACCAACGGTACAGCAATTTGAACATGGCAACGAAGATGCATCGTGATGGCATGAGGCATGGCATCATCCTAATGCCGTTCGACACTAATAATATATCATGCATAGGAAAAACCTTTCCTTCCGTGATTGTGCTTTTTATTAGCCTTTCATCCGCGTAACGACAGCTTTGCAAGCACAGCACCTTCTAGCGTATGCACTTTACATAGGAAAGGCTGTCATAACGTAATTTATTTCCCTTGGTTAGGGTAAATTCAAACGAGCGGGTGGACGCAAGTTGAGCGGTGCCAGTCTTGCGGGACTTGGCAAGCCGCTATCTGGCTGGAAAGGAATGTACATAAGCGAAGTATGCATTGAAGGCTTTAAGTCGTACGCTAGCCGCGTTACACTCAGCAACTTCGACCAATGCTTCAACGCCATAACTGGTCTGAATGGCAGTGGAAAGTCGAACATCCTCGACTCCATTTGTTTTGTGCTGGGCATCAAAAACTTGAGTCAGGTGGGATCCAAGTCTCACAATCTGGGCGTCGGGAGTCTCACTGACGGAGGCTCAGGGGCACCCTCGTGTGTAGCTCCACCCTGGCAAACCCAAACTCACGCGCTCTGAACCGTTTCGCTGGGCTTACACCATGGCACATGCAGGTCCGCGCAACAAGCCTCCAGGAACTTGTATACAAGCAGGGACAAGCGGGCATAACTAAGGCGACCGTATCTATCACATTTCGGAATGATGACCCTAAGAAAGCCCCAACTGGCTTTGAGGACAAGGAGACAATATCGATCACACGTCAGGTACAGCGCGTGTCGCAACCATAACAGTTGCACAACAGGGTCACTGGTCGGTGTCATTGTGATTTTCCTGATTGATGTTAAGCAGTGGACCCATGAAGACCGAGAGGTGTTTGAATGGACACGTGCTCAACGGAGTCAGGAGGAGAAAGTTCGTGCACGGCCACACACCACGCATTTCAATCTGGGTTCATGTGACGACCGGTTTTGGACATGCCCTCATGACGTGCCAACAGGTCGTAATTGGCGGGCGGAACAAGTACCTTATCAATGGAGTGTCAGCAACCGAGACGTAAGTCGTCCTCCAACGCATCATGGTTTCCTCCTAGTGGTCGCCTCGAACAGACATTAGGATGGACCTGGTGGCACCCGAAGGGATTCAGCGTCTCTTCTGCATTTCAGGCGCAGCTATAGTTTGCTGTTCCAGCCATGAGTACCGCCAGTAAAAAATATGCTATCTCCCGCTAACGCAGGCGTGTTGCTGACCTGTTCCAGTCAGTACAACTGAATGTCAACAACCCGACCTTCCTAATCATGCAAGGACGCATCACAAAGGTAAGCACTGCGCGAGGATAAGCCTGGTCAAGCGCCATCCTTGCTGGGCCCTGCATAAAGTGGCCTTGGAGTGAGTCTGGTGATACAACAAATGTACATTCATAGCCGAGCGTAGGCATGCCCCACGGGTGTAGGCAGGGAGACGTTGCATCTGGCCCCACGAGAGTAAGCAGGAAGCTTTATAACGAAAGCTACCCACGGTGGTGCCGAGTTCAAGGAGTTTTTGATTATTTTTGTGGGGTCTCGTGCAGTGGCAAAGCACGTCGCAGGTCTGGGAGCAAGCAATGTTTGGGCCCATGTTCGACCATGAGGCCTGTAGCATCTGCTGGCGTGCTCCCTGACAGGTGCTCAACATGAAGCCGCCGGAGATCCTGTCCCTGCTCGAAGAGGCCTCCGGCACCAAGATGTACGAGAAAAAGAAGCAGAATGCGCTCAAGACACTGGAGAAGAAGCAGGCGCGATTGGAGGAGATCGACCATGTAGGTTGACAGTGTACTGAAGCATCGCAGGATTCAGGCACTAACGGCAAGGAGCGCGCAGGCGGACAGGGCCGTATGGCGCATCAAGCCAGCTGTCGTATGTATGAAAGACGTTTCCAGGAAGGCGAATGCGTTGTC